GAAGACGCTGGTGTGGTCTGTACAGGTAAGAAAACTGTTCCAAAAGTCTGTGGTGGTGTCACAACTGGGTTTTTTCATGTATTAGTTAAAACCTAGATTCTAGTTTGTTCTCATTCCATCATATTTTGCTTATCTTACTTTTTTTTTACAAGCATCATTACAATGTGTGCACTGCAACATTTGCTTGAAATGAACTATAATTTGAAAACCTCCTCCTTTAGCAGCAATAACCTGAAACATTCATAAGATAGAAGCAAGGTCAAAAATGTTTCTGTCTAACCACCTCAAGATATTGTGAGAAAAAGGAAATATGAGATGAGAGAATGAAAAGAGCAGTTAAAGTCTGTAAAATTAGTGCCAGTAACTAATCATAGAAGTTTAAACCATTACCAGCCTGCTCTACACTGTTATAGCTCATGATCAGTTTCAGTGAGTGTTTATCTGATGTTTTTTCTTTATAATTTGACTTAATGGTCATTGATCATATGTCGAAGATGTCCAGGGAGAGAAACCAAGAAGTAGCAGTGTATTGGAGAAGAGAAGGAGGCAGTACAAATTATTGTGGTATTCAGGAGAGAGGAGAGAGCACACCTGCCTCATTTTTCTGTGTGTATACGAGAGGCTGGAGATAGTGTAACCAGCAGTAACAATACTGCACATAACTGCCAGCAGACACTAAATCAGACACAGCATGAAAAAAAAATAGTGGTCTGGTATTTAGCTGCAGAGATTTGTCATTTGCAGACACAAAACTGTATCAGCTAAGCCATCAGCTAATATGGTAGCCAATAAGATTATCTGATCTGAACTTGACTGTGTCCTGTTTTATCTAATACTACATCTTTTTTTTTAGAAACCCTCCCAGAGCCCACCATCTCCTTGTACAGTAATGAGGTTACCTGGGGTCAGGACGTCAGAATCAATTGCTCAGTCTCAGATAAGTTCTCAGGTGGAACTTTTATCCTCCAGAAGACTTCAGGCTCATTCAGTCAGACGAAACCATCCTTTATGAGCTCTGTTACATTCAATCTTCAAAATGTGAACTTTGATCATGATGGACTGTACCAGTGTCAGTACATGAAAATAAGTCGAAGGTTCAGCTCTTCCCCTGTCAGACTCACTGGTAAGAAAAAA